AGAAGCAGCTGCGCCACATACATTTTACTTCGTATTGTGCTTATTTTACTATATTTTTAAACCGTGCTCCTTTGTGCTATAATGAAATCCTTATCTTGGGCTTGGCAACTAGATTAAGGAGACATATTTAGAACTATATGAGCAATAAAACTAAGGAGGCAAGACCGACGTGCAAGAATCTGCTTCCTGTTGGAGCCAACCATGGCCAGAACACTGGTGAATTCGGTGATATGTTTCAGCAGAACTGGATCTGAGGTTAACAGGCCAACTTTCCGTGTTTAGCCATCTCTGAAATGTGTGGTCAAATCTAGTGACAGAAATATAGGAAGGGAACTGATAGATATGTGGTAGCGCTGGAGCAGTGGAGTAGGAATCGGCTTTGATGTAAATCTGAGAAAATGGGGAATTTACTCCTTGAGGGAGGCAAAGCTGTGATAATATGTGTGTAATGTGTGGACCTGAGCATGGTCCTTAGGTGCTGCCTCTCTGGTTGCAATGGGGACGGGGGACGGGGGGGGGAGGTTGCTCATCAGAAGATCAAATCCTGACTGTGTAGCTAGGAGCACCACTTAAACAATGGTCATCTCATGTGAAGGTACGTTTAGGACTAACGCATGAAAAAAAACCCCCAAATATAATGTACAGTTCTGTGCTTTTCCTGCTGCAGTGGGGGTGGGGGGGGAAGAGTCCGATTGCATTGGTAGAATTTGATTTTTGAGTGTAAAGGTCCGCTTTAAGCACTCGTTCACACCTGAACGTTTTGTAGCGCGTTCTACGCTCGACGAACGCTCTACAAAACGCTCAAAAATATAAATCCCATTGTATTCAATGGTCTCGTTCCCACCTTGGCGTATTTCCGCCCGTCCCTAACGCGCTACAAAATGGCCCACGCCTGAAAAGTTACATGTACTACTTTGGGCCATTTTGTTGCACGTTTCCATTGGGATACAGCCAAGTAGCCTTCGGAAACACGCGTTTGTCGCGCGACTTTACCGCGAATCGCGGTAAACAGACGCGCATATGCAATATGCCTAGGTGTGAACGAGACCTAAGAGGTGCTCCTAACCACTCATCTAGAAATAAAACAAGGTCTGTTGAATGGAGTTCCAAGACACAGTGTAGGTTATCTCTTGTCTGAAGGCTCCTCAGAAGCATGCAAGAACCTATAAGAAAGACCGCTTTGTTGCCCTCCAATGTCACTTTCTAGTTCTAGTAAAGACTATGGTAAGAAGTGCAAGGCTGCAGTGCTGGAAGGGAAAGCGAAAGGAGACATGAGAGGCGACTATACGGCCTCTTCGCTTGCAAGGAATTAGTAGTTTCATTTGGTTAGAAACCTAACAGGGTCTCTTTGAATTGTAGAATAACTCTTGTGAGGAGGCAAACACTGGCCATACATGGAGCACATTTTGGCTTGTTCGTGATGAACCAGCCCAGTTGGTGGCTCAGTCTGCTGCCTCCCACACGACGTCCTTTGTTTAAAAAAAATCAAAAAAGAAGCTTGGCGGAAATTGTTGGTCAAACAACACCTGAATACAATTGGATACAGGTGCTGTTCATGGATTTTGACGACTGTCAAAATACAATAGCTGCAGTGATAAATTCCTCCAAGTTTTTGGGCTGAGCCTTGTAAGTGCTGGCTCTCTCTCTATGCAGGTTTTTATTGCTGTCTGGACAGAGTCTCTATTTGTCCTAATGACCCTTGTTACCTGGGACTGAAAGTGAGCGACTACACAACATTGTGGGTGGTCATTGGGACAGGAATAAGGGTGGATTATTCCACAGGGATGCTTGTTCTGTCTGAAAGTGGATTGTAAAGCAGATGTAAAACATAATTGAAAAACTTAACAATTGCAATAAATTCCATCATAAATCCATCATAGTTCCCTTTAAGAGGTTGGGATCACCCAGGAGCCATTTTTCTATAACGTTTTATGAGTTGAGCAGCCACATTATAAGTACTTTGTTGTCATACTGTAAAAGCACACAAACACCAAACAAACCTTCAGTCACAACATGAATAAATAATTCCAGAAGGGATTACTTTGAATTGTTCTCATATTCTGCCAAGTACAATGACAGCAGCTTCAATCATCCTGTACAGCAACAACAAAGAGTCCTTTAGAACTACAGCACCAATCCTATTTATTGATTGCCCCAGGGATGGGATTGTAATTACTGTAAAAGAAAAACAACATTTCATGAACAATACTCCAGTGAGAAGGGAACTACAAACTGTGGAGGGGGATAGAAACATAAAATGACCCCGCACGCATCAGGGCTGGAAGTAGGGTTGCCACCTCAAGCGTAACCCGAATGCTATAGCGTCGCACAGACATTTTTTGGGGAAAATGAGTCGTGGCTTATTCATATGTAAATAGCGCCACCCATTCATATGTAAATATCACAGTTGAGACTATTTTCAGTGGGGGGCCAGTTGCCCATATCTTAATTTTGGTTGCCTCATGGGACTTGTAGTTCCACAAAAGCTGGAGTGCCTTGGCTACCTACACCTACCATAAAATGTAGAACCAGCAGTCTTGCATTGTACATGAGGACACTGAGGGCCCACTCACAACCCAGGATGTTGGACAGCAAAGGAGAGCACTGGCATCTGGTGTGAACGGGCCATAAGGGAACCCAATACAGATTCTAGTCTGAAGGAGAGACATTTCCTGCACCTAGTTGGCTTTCTACCAGTAATCCTATTGGCCACTGCAGGCCGCCTCCAGTAAGACTCCTTTGGCCTATAATCCCTTGACCATTAAAGACTTCACATGACTACAGAGCAAATTGTACATAGAATGTTTTGTACAGATGTGAGAAACGCGTACATACAGATTGTGTGCAGCATTATGAGCTCTATTACCGAACAATAAATTAGAAGTTACATTTATTGGTCCTGTGAGTATTAGTTTCTGCAAATGCCTTCGGTATTTTAAAATGGATAACCAGATGCCTAATCCACGGCGTCTAAATTACATTTTCAGGCAGCTCGGTCTTTACAAGCTGGGGGCTTGAGAGCTAAATAAAACCCAAAGTAGCAGTTACGATATGAGCTCAACACACGTACATCATAAACTCCGCCTCTCATAATGAAAATCAATAAAATTAAAGCTGAACTCCAGGAAACCGCTTAATACACACATAAAAAATACACATATAGGACGGGTTACACCTGCCAAAGGATATGTAATGGTAATCAGCCAGTCCTGAGATTTATGCAACCCTGCCAGATAGCATGGACAGCCTGGAAAGCCTGACTTACCTACTGTAGTAGAAGCTGAAACTTTTTAAATGCATTAATGCATAGCCACAAAGAATATAAATCTGCTTTGAGTGCATCACATGTCTTGATAAAACATAGATATTACCTTGCAAAGGTAGCAGTGACATCATCACTGTGATGCATATAGCCGATGAAAAGAGCAGAGCTGTGGGAGGGACTCAACAGGCCCCACCCACTACAGGCTGCCTGCAGAAACCTCAGGAGGGGCGCATACAAGACCAATCACCTTGCACAAGGAGAGAGAGCAGCAAGGACTGGTCTGTATTACAGGAAGATCCTGTACAGAGGTAAAGGCACAGATCTGGAAGAAATATACAAAGCACACCAAAGAGGATGCTATGAGACCGATGAGAGCTGTAGATGGTATAAGAGCTCTCACAGGGTCGGCGGCGGTTGGGCGGCTACGTGTTTCGAGGCATATCCTGAGGCTTGACAAAGAGGCTATACCTCGAAAACGCGTAGCCGCCCAACCGCCGCCGACCCTGTGAGAGCTCTTAGGGCCTGTTCACATGAGATCAGGTCCTGATCAGGTGCGGATGTGCAGACTAATGCAGTGCGTTTTTGCCATGTTCCTGACCTTTTCCGGACCGGACAAAATGTTACATGCAGTATTTTTTCTGTCGTAAGCTGAACGGACTGCGCACGAGAGAACTGGAGCCCATAAAACACATAGGGATACATTTTGAGTGCAGCAGCGTACGGAGCCGGTCAGCACACAAAACGGACGTCGTGTGAACAGGCCCTTATACCATCTACAGCTCCCATCGGTCTCATAGCATCTCGACCTTCCCGCTACTTTGTCTTGGTGACGTTATAAATCTACCCTCAGCCGGTTGCGGCACTTTTCCCTCCTCCACCCGCCGCGGCTCAGCCTGGCCAGCTGAGTACGCATGTACATGTGGAACACTCGTTTTTGGGGTTACAATCTGCAGCTTACTACTCCCCACACCTGGTCCTCGGAAAGCGGGACGCCGGACACCACCACCCAGGTTTTCGGATGTTGCTGCTGCCATTTTGACAGCGAGTCATTTCCCTTCCTTTACTTGTATAGATTTTTACATGTAGAGCTAGTTTGCACCCCTCAATGAGGTAGTAGCGCTCCTTATCCTTGTGTATTCGTTATATGTTGTATGGGGCTCCTCTACCTGTTCAAAAGGAGCTTAGCACACCGATCACCACTGTTCCCTTAATGTGACCATTGAACTGCAGTGCGCTGATTTATTCGATTAAATTTATTATTGCCGGCATTGAACAGGCTTTCCTGCTCAGACTGCTTCCTAAAAGAAAAGAAACAATAACTTTGCACACCTTGTTTTGTTGCACCTGGAATGAATTCAGCCGAATGGGCTTTAAGCACTACAGTCTGGTCACATCCAGGCCTCCAGCCTGCGTCTAGAAAGCAAAGTAGCAGCAGAATACTAATATCCCTCGCCTGTGTCAGGCCTCTGCAGAAGGACCACTGCTCCCACACAGAGAGCAAGAGTCCTTCTCTATAGCATGCTGACATTGGACTATGGCTATCCTTCTCAGGCTGTGGCCGAGGAGAAGCAGAATACTAATGAGTCATCACTCTGCTCTCGCCTTATATTCCTTGTCAACACTCAGTTCACCTATTTCAGTCCTCTTACTGCAACGTAAAAGTGTGACTCAGCCCATGAAAACGGATAGAAAGATGAATAAAACTACATCCAACACACCTACACGTTGCACCTACCTGCTGGAGCATTTCCTCGGTAGCATTAAGCTTCACCTGGTGTTCCTCAACGCAGGATTCCAAGTCCCGGATCTTGTCTCCTTGGGCCTCCACCTGATCAGTGAGGACGCTCACCTGCAACGAGACACAAATTACAGTCACAACCAAACCCTTCCCATCCTTTCAAGGAGCAGAAACCAAACACTTCACTTTACGAACATGCACAACGTCTACAACAACAAACAAGCAAATGACCCGGCTGCCCCCGGCCTCCAAATTTCAGACGCACCACTGACCCAGCTTCCTCAAACCGGGCAACGTTTCACAATCCTGCTGTCTTGGGAGCTGTTAGGCAATCCTATGCGAGAGAATGGCTACAGCAGGTTTTTTTAACACTGTTAGGGTGGAAAAGAAGAATAAAAGCTCCTTATGAAAGCCGAAGCGGAGACATAGAGCGTGGCGTCTTTACCTATTCCAAGCGGCGGAGGTGGCAAAAGTATGTGATGCATTCAGGGCATGTTTAAGCACCTACTGAGCACAGCTTTGAAAGCCTTCCCGGCCTGCAAGTTACTACAGGAGGAGGGAACGACGGCGAGGAGGGGGGAAAAAAAAATGATCAACAGAAATTAAATTGTCAATTCGATATATAGCTGCTTTAAAACAAGTCTGCACAGACAGCAGCAGACATTGTTCACAAGTTTGGGAATTTGTTGGCTTCAAAAAAGCATTCCAACCCCCCCCCCCTTGCAAATAAATATCTTGAGCAGATATTGCGTAGATCTGCTATTGTTGGCAGTGTAATTTTGCTACTATTATAGTTTTAATGCCGGAACGCTGTTATGACAGATCTCGGGGATCACGCCTGCGTGTTCCGAAGAGAGTCTGGTCGGTCGGTGCAGCTGTTCAGAAATCGCCTATGGACAGCCAGCAGCTAAGGTATAAAGCCTATGGTAGTGCTAAGCGAGTCGCTGTGCAGCTGAGCCATGCATCTGTGGACTAAAAAAAAAGAACTTTTATTAACCCTTGCAGTGGAGCGACCCCCACACTGCAAGGGTTAATAAGAGAACTATGGGGTCAGTGTTTTTCCCTATAGTTCTCTTAAGGGTCACGGGAGGACATATACTAGCGTCCTCCCGTGACTCAAAGCTCTGTATATCGCGAGCTACAGCTCGCGGTATAACGAGACCGCCACAGCCGGGACGGATCCCGACATTGATGTCGAGATCCACCCAGCTGCCTGAGTGACAGCTGGCTCTGTCTATCTAGAGGCAGAGCCAGCTGTGCCCGCCCCCTCCCCAGGCCGTTCCGCCAGTAAGTGCTGGAGGATCGGAGCGGGGAGAGGGAAATCCCTGCAGGGAGCCATGAGTGACAGTCGATCTATTGAGCCTAAAAATCACTCACCTCGTAGTTCTCCTTTAAGTGCTCGTTTTCATCTAGGTGCTGGAATAAAAAAAAAAAAAAGTTATACCTCACCCGATCCTCAGAGCTTTCTTTAGGCCGGTCCTTTTCAACCTCTCTACCCCTCCGCGGCAGCGATGGTTTGTCCCTCAGTGTCCTCCCGTCCTATACACAGTGTATTGGATGTGATGACTATTCTTCAGAACGTCACACAGGTTGCCAACGTTTTAGGGCCGCACAGTGTCCCTTCCTTAATCATCTTGAGGAATAAGCCTTGTAAGGCTCCGAAACGTTGGCCACATTGGTCTTATGTGACCTGAAGAATAAATGACACATCTTTGCGTGATCTTTAGTCAAACGCTGGTGACTTCTTCTCTTCCTTTTTCCCTCCAATGCTCCAGGTTGTCAGCCCTCGGTGCCCTGACTTACAATCCAAGATTGCTGGTGACTACGTTGGAGTGCTTGCAACTGAAGAAACGCCAAGGAGAAGGGGCCTTGGGGGATCAGTCGTACGGAGAGGAAGAAGCCAGAGTGATAATTGTGCCCCCCCCCCCAGTTCCCCCACGTGACCCGGTGAGATGCCACCTGAGGTAGCCGCCTCAGGCTGCTTCATTATAGGGATGGACCTTGTTTCTGGGCACTATTATGGGTACAAACAAAGTTGCAAGACTGGTTTCAGAAACTACAGTGCAAGTCAAACCAAACACGTTTTCTCTAGGTTTGAATAGAGCGGTGAAACACAAGAACTCCGGTCATGTTTTTACTGCTATCTGGAGCTCAGTGGGTCCCCATTCACATTTTGGCATTGTGAGAACTCGAGCCAAAACGTGCGACATGTTCAAGACACGCAACATGCTTGTTAATGGCACCCCAAATGAGGATGGTAAAACGTTTTTTCCCCAAACGTGGACGGGCATCAAACATGCAGGAAAAAGGTGCGGGACACTTGCTGCTGAAAAGACTCCATGAGCTACTTTGCTGCATTTGTTGAGCACGCGGAAGCCCATTGATTGACTGGGCTGTTGCGTGGCAGTGGCGGTAAAACACACACAAACCCGCGTTTGTGCGCTGTGAAGTGTGAATGGGGCCTTAGAGAGATTCCCCTCACTTCCTGTCTTACTGACAATATTTTTTACAACACGGGGGGGAGGGGAATCTGCAACAGCGACACAGACAGAAATTAAAATCTGACAGGGGCTCTGGCCTTTCCTTACTGTACGAAATAAAATTGTTTTTGTCTATGTTGCTGTTGGAGAGTAAGACTTTTTCCAGCAGGAGAGGAAGTGGGGGGAAATCTCCCTAACGTAGCCCCGGTAGCAGTAAAAACCTGACATAGGTTTTATACTTTCCACATTCTATTTACATTTTGGGGAAAAGAAAGTTTTGGATCGACATACATGTTAAAGCCCATTTCTGGGCAAAACAATAAATGTACCCTTGCAGTGGGGCTACCCCTGTACTGCAAAGGACAAATGCTCATTTTTGTCTAGAGCCTGAAGTAAAGCAGATTTACTTACCTGATCCCAGCTCCTGCTGGCTCTCGTAGGGTTGCTAGACCAGTCCCTGCAGCTTCTTCTTCCCTGGGCTTCAATAGGCTAAGGACTGCTGATGTCATCATGTCTAATGCAGGTTCTGATCCTGATCCCTGCACCCCTCTTCTCCCTCTCCGCTCCAGCTGGTTGAATGTCCCTCGGTGTCCTCATATCTAATGCAGGTCTACAGGGCCGGATTTATTTTCTCTGCTGCCCCAAGGCCAGGCTCCTAAATGCACCCCCCTACCCGCCAAACTCACCCCCCCTCCCCCCAATGGAGAAAGGCAGACCTGCAAGCTACATACAAGTGACATCGCCGAGATCACTTGTACAGAACAAGCGGCGGATTCCCCGCTGTACATTTAGCCCTGCTTGCCCAAAGCAGGGCTAAATGTAGAAAACAACTACTTGTCACGGGCGTCGGGCTATAGGAATTCCATACCCCTGCTGCCTGCTGCCCCGAGGCCGGGCCTTGGTTGGGCTTGTGGGAAATCCGGACCTGCAGGTCTATGGAACCTGCATTAGACCTGATGATATCAGCAGTCCTTAGACCACCAGAGAGAAGGGGAGAAGAGGTTGAGGGGAACCGGTCCAGAGCCCATAGGGAGCCGGTGGAAGTGGGGATCCGGTGGAAGTGGGGATCAGGTAAGTAAATCTAGTTTACTCCAGCTCCTAGACAAGAACAAGCACTTATCCTTGCATATCTTTGCAGTGCAGTAGGAACTGCACTGCAAGGGCAGATTTTTGGTTTGCCTGGAGATGGGCGTTCAGGTTTGTTTTTCCTTCGTCATTAAGGGTTTAACATTGACGAGACTTTACACTGAAATGCGTAGATGTCAATCTATTCATGTGACCTCATATAGACAATTAATATTCCTTTCTTAATTCCACTCTGCCCCTATTTAGCAGTTGGGATAATCCTAAATGTTGATGACCAACAAACCATTATATATTACATATTAACAATGTAAAACACTTTTTTTTTGGATACACATATACAGCCATTTAGATTTCCACTATATCCTTGTATACATAATCTTTGTACCTGTAATACTAGAGATTCCTTATCGCCTTCCAGACGCGTCAGTCGTTCTTGGTAGGTCTCATTATTCACAACTGTATGGTTAACCTAGGAGAGAAGTAGACATTGATCAGTCACTGCAGGAAAGACCAGAACACATAGATGTCAGCCACAGAGACAATGTCCATGCATGACCCCTTGTACCCCTGAAATGCACTCTCACTATTCACCACTCGCTACAAGTCAGGATTACAAGTCACAGGGTCATCTCCGTCCATCTTTGTTTTATCAGCAAAGAGAAACAGAAAGTTACAAAAAACTGCTGGATTGCTGAACTGACACCAGATAAACGAAACTGATGGATTATTCCTTAAAGGGATCGCAATGACTATGTATTTCCACTTTTGCAGCCAAATCAGGAAAACACCTACTATTTGTTACATGTTCCCGTTCAAAAAGCACAACTTAAAAAAGATATTTAAAAACTGCAACTTACTTTTTTTGATGCGTAATTCTGGAAACTCCTAGACTGAAAAGTCCTTCTTCATTCTCACTGTTTAAAAAGGAGAACTATGAGGCGAGTGCTTTTCACTCACCTCATAGTTCTAGCCGACCTGTGACAATGATACTGTTACAGGTCGGCTCAGCAGATCGGGAAGTGAGCGAACACATAGCGGCGTTCGCTCACCTCTCGATCCTGTCACGGCTCTCTGCTGTGACAGGGGAGGGGCTGGATTCCCCCCTCTCCGCTCCGCCAGCGCTGACTGGCGGAACGGACGGGGGAGGGGCCGGGTACAGCTGGCTCTGCCTCTAGATAGGCAGAACCAGCTGTCAGTCACGCAGCTGGGCGGATCCCAGCATAAATTGCCGGGATCCGCTTCAGCGTCTCAGTATACTGTGGCGTCTCAGTATACCGCGAGCTACAGCTCGCGGTATACTGAGCCTAGGGTGACGGGAGGACGCTAGTTTGTGTCCTCCCGTTACCCTAAGGAGAGCTATGGGGAAAAGCCTTAACCCCATAGTTCTCCTTTAAGGGGGGGCCATAATTGACCCCATCTGTGCCATGCTGGCAGATGTCGTTATCACCTGTGAACTAGATGAGCAGGACTGTCTGTCCTAAAGACCTCAAGGCATTGAGGGGAATTTACCAAAACTGGGAGCAGATTTGCACTGCAACCAGTCAGCTTTTCTCTTTCATTGTCAAATCTTAACTGAGCAAACTGAAGAGAGAAGCTGATTGGTTGCCATGGGCAACTGCTCCAGTTTCTGTCTGCTCCAGTTTTGATAAAGCCCATGTCCGAGCAAGCCAAAAATCCACCCTTGCAGTGGGGCTACACCTGCACTGCATGGCTTAAGTGCCCAATTTTGTCTAAGGGTTGGAGTAGGCTTGCCACCTATCCGTGATTCACCCAGACAGTCCAGGTTTTGAGTCCTATATGTGTTGTTGTTCAGCTGGTCTGAAACCACGACACAAGATGTCATGATGTTAAGTGGACAGGGGCAAACATGGGCTCCTGGTGTTCCAGCTTGAATGCATGGAGGAGGCACGGGACACAGAGGGACCCTGGAACATGGGGAGCAAGGAAGTGTTTGAAACACAGGGTGCAGATAAGTCTTGAAGGGCACAGGGATCTGCTTCAGGCAGATGTGTTGCTCGCTATGACCATTGCAATGTTGGGGTTAGCCCCACTGCAAGGGTAGATCTTGTGTTTGCTTAAAAAAAACCCCCCAAAAAAACTGTCCCTCAGTCTGACCCCCCTACCTGCATTTTGTCATCTATTCTAACCACCAGAAGCTACCTATGGTGTCCTATGTATAATCCTACTCCAAACAAACAAAAACTAGAAAATGTAAGAGATATATATATATATATTTGATTTATGCTATGTGAACAGGAACACACAACACTCATCTATTGGGGTTTCTCTCAAATGTGACTGCAAAAGTGGAAATACACTTTAAAACGCCTCAAGCACATCATGTGACCTATACAATGCATCACCCAACCAATATATAAGTCCATTAAAACAAAGTTCAAATAGCTTCCTTCCACCAAAACCCAATCTTATCTGTGCTTAGTGTAATAAATACAGTGTCATAGTAACATAGATACAAGGCATATGTCCATCGAGTTCCCCACAAGACAAACAAATGCACTAACAATCTGCATCCTCGGAGCCCTAAATCTGCAGCTGATCCACAGAAAGACAAGAACCCATAAAGGGTTGGTCCAATAAGTTCTAACATGGAAACAAAATTCCTTCCTGATCCCCAAAGGTAATTGGACACTCCGCGGATCAACAACCAGCAGTTTTATTCCATATAAATATGATGTGCTATATTTATAATATTATTACGCTATATTTTGTGCATTAAGAAACACATCCAGACTGCATGTGAAGCAATCTGAGTTGGTTAGAACTAGCCTGTGTAAAGCGGACCATATACAATACTAGACAAGCTGGCCGAAATTCGCACAGTGGGTGCCGCTGATGGCACAATTTCAGCGGCCATCCCACGACAAGATGATTATAGGAGCCGGTTGCAAAATCCTCAGTGGCCGCTGTCAGAATACAATGCAATAGCAGGAGATTCATCGATCAATACTGGTAAGCATTGATGGAGGAATCTGTAATATTTTCTTTGTTCAGCCAGCAGGTTGAACAAAGAAAATATTGCAGTGTATGGCCAGCTTTATAGATGTTCCAGCCAGACTTACGCTAGACAAATGCAATTCGCATGGCATTCCATCCACTAGATGGAGCCAAGGAGCATGGGAATTAGCTATGCTACTCAGCGCCATCTAGTGGTGGGATTGCTGTGCAAATGGCATTTGCCCAGCGTATAGCTCGGCGAAAGATTTATCAATTGTCTCCAAAAATATTTTTTCTTTTCTTTCTCTCTCCCTTTCTCTCTGTGGGCTGAACCAAAGAAATCTAACAGAATTATCCATCCTCCAAACCCTCCTGTATTGAAATTGTAACTGTTCTGTCTCCCTCCATTTTGTACAGCGCTGCACAAACTGTTGGTGCTATACAAGTCTTATATTATAATAATAACTATAATGCTAATAATAATAATAATAATAATAAAAAATGCTAAACGGCATACATATACGAATACCACCCCGTGCCACACTATTGTTTTTTTAATAACAGTGAGGGTGTCAATCAGCAGCTGATTGGCTACAGTCACTGTTCGGCCAGCAATTTTCCACCCGGTTCCTTCAACAGAAGTCTGCCAAAATTTGAGCAGTGTGTGGCCCCCCGTCAGCACCCCTGTTTGACGAACCTCGATTTTTCAATTGACTTTTGTCGAAAGTGCTAGTCCGAAAATTCTCAGCCGAACAAGGATTGCTGCCAATGAAATGAAGGCAATGTCGGAGTATTCCGACAGCTGCACCACCGCCTCTCTTAGAATACAATAGCCCGGGAAGGAATCAACCCCAAGACCAATGTATGACCAGTCTTAAAATGTCGGTCAGTTCATGTGAATTTCCAACAGCATACGGCTAGCTTTATATTATTCCACATTTTTACAGCTCTTACTGTAAAGAAGTCTTTTCCTATGCAAAGGTTACACATCTTCCCCTCCAGGCAATGAGAATATAATTTAGTTGCTAAAACAGGAAGCATACATGTATTTCATCTATTGATCTGCTTGCCTGGAGTCCCGCTGTAGACACGCATTACATTCAGTAGCCCCGAACCTTGATACCAGGCAAAAACAAAAGGGGATTTTCCTAATGGAAAATAATCTTGGTTGTTCAGACATTTTGGAACGTTTTCAACATAAACATACAGTGCTCAATATCATGGGAGGAAATTCTATTTTTGGAAACGGCAAAAAAAAAATGTGCTTGACTAATATTTTCACATTGCTGGAAGACATTCCTTAGGTCGGTTCCTTCATTGAAGGAGGATTTTCCCATGACACGCGCCGCGGAATGATCTCAGTTCCACATTCTACAAATAGCCCCGGCATTGCTTATCAGAAGCGATAAGATGGGGCGCGGGCCGGTGGGTGGCTCTTTGCGGCCCGGGTGGCATGTGTCACCGTGGCACGGCTGCATTTCTTGCATGTCTGCGCGGCAAGACTGACATGCGTTGAATCGTTGGCTGCCAACGCCGACGTGTTTTTGTTTTATTGCCTTCCAGCACTTAGGAACATGCGTCTTCAAACTCAGCAGCAGTTGATTTATGCGGAGATTGAAGATGGCTTAGAAATCAGAAGCCTATCAATCATTATTAAGCAAACATAGAACAAGCAAAATATTCATTGGCAACCACTACCTGAAAAATGTTAGTTGTTCGGCTCTTATGCTGATCCTCTGGCTTCAGTACTTCAAAGCAGAAATCCGGGATAAGCAAATACTCCTACTTGACTCTTGGTGTGCTTTGTGTATATGAAATTTGTCTCTCCTTGTGCAGGGTGACTGGTCTTGTATCCGCCCCCTCTTGTTGCATTCTACAGGCAGTTTGTAGTGGGTGGAGCCTGCTAGGTCCCTCCCACAGCTCTGGTTTTTGCACAGGTTATGTACAGCACAGTGATAATATCACTACTTCTTTTACAAGGTCATATCCTCATTTGCAAAGGTATTTAATGCACATCAAGTAAATTTATACCCTTTGGCTCTATTGAGGAATATGTTTAAATTAGTTTTTGTGCTTTAAAGCATAACTCTGGGGTTCTTTCTTATTTACAATAGATTAGGGATGCACCGATACTAGTATCGGTGCAGATACCGAGTATTTGGGCAAGGACTCGTACTTGCCAAAATGCTCAGATACTTACCCCCGATATCGAAACTTCGGTCAGAGGGAGATTTCCTCTGACTGGCAGTGCCACGAGGGAACATGGAGCCGGCTTCCCGGCCAATCAGGAAGCCGGGCAGTGGGTAATGACTTGCCGCCCGACTTCCTGACTGGCCGGGAAGCCGGCACCATGCTGTGTGGCCGGCTTGATGGTCATTGGCCGGGAAGCTGGCTCAATGCCGTCTGGCTGGCTACCCGACCAATCAGCATTGAGCCTGCCAAACAGCATTGAGCTGGACAAACAGCATGGAGCTGGACAAACAGCATGGAGCTGGACAAACAGCATGGAGCTGG